TACTTCGGTTTCCCCTGCCAATCTTCATTCCACCAATTGCTCCACAATCACCCTCACCTATCATCTGGGGCTGGTACAATAGGCCAGAATTGACCGCAGTACAAGGGACTTAGTCCCACCCCACTAGCAATAAAAAAATAGTTCCTATTATCCAGATTGCCCTGTATGTAGTTTAAATACTGACAGCGCGTCTAACTAAAGTGTAAACAAAAATGTTTTCCTTCAGAGAAGTTTAAATATGTGAACCCCACCTACTCTGAGATGATATACTTATGAAGCATGCCTGTCTGGGTTTTCCCTGTTTCATATGCTTGCAGGACCTTGGAGATCTGTGTTACGATAGTAATGCTATTGTTCAGCGCTACATTGAGAACCCTCTGCTCATCGGCGGCTATAAGTTTGACCTCAGATTATACGTGTGCATACCGTCATACCATCCACTAACAGTTTATCTGTACAAGGAAGGTCTGGTCAGATTCAGTACGGACAAGTTCTCAATGGCTGACCTCAGTAACCCGTTCTGTCATCTCACGAACAGTTCACTCAATAAATGGGGACCAGGTTATAATGAGAAAAAGGAAAGAATTGGTCCAGGTATGTGACATGCATAGGCCTGTTCTTTCATTACATATTTTTCGAGGTATAGGAGATGAAGAAGTACCAATACTCCTACACAGTGCACGTTTCCTAGGATATGGAGTACAGAAAAAATGCAAAGAGCTTGCTTATACTCATACACAGTGATTATAAGTTTCCTTTAAATATTCTGAATTTCACTAAGCTCTAAAATAAGGCTTTATACTTTGGATTTTCCCTCTGTGACAACAGATTAAGGCGGAAAAGTGTGAAAATTTCCGCGTTAAATTTGTGACAACATATAACGCCTAATTTCACTGCTGCCCTGTCTAGAGAACTCTCTGCACTTAGATCTGGATGCAGGTCTAATCGATATTGGCTTAGGTTCAGAGAGCAAATTATCATCAGTACACGTTACGTATCTTTTGCCGTTTTTCTGGGTAAACGACGGACTGATTGGAAGCTTCTAGGCCGCTGACACGCTATGATTACAGACATCAATAGCACGCAAGTTTTCCGGTTTTGTGACTCTGCAATTTAACCTACACTAAGACTGCTAACATTACGTTGGCCGAAATACGTGGTACAGTCATTAAGTTCGTGGAATGTGGTTTTATTGCATCATATTACAAGGTATTCACATGCATTTACACAGATCCACATCGGCCCTCAAAATAGTTGCCGTTGGCTGCTATGAAAGCCTGCCAACATTGATATAGCTGCAGAAAACTTTGCTGAAACATATTGGCAGGAAATTCCTGAACGGCGTCTCTTGTGGCATTGACCACCTCCTCGGACGGCTGAAATCTACGACCACGTAGCTTTGCTTTCAAGCGGTGAAAGAGAAAGAAAATGCATGGTGCGAGATCAGGTGAGTACGGAGGGTGTGGCAAATCGGTAACCTGTTGCCTTGCCAGTTCCTTTTGGACAAGAACAGAGCGATGTGCAGGGGTGTTGTCGTGTAGCTACAGCCACTTCTTCCTACTCCAAACGTTTCGCTAGGGATTTGCCTAGTTTTTGGCAGAACTTGATATTTGCCGGTTGTTCAAAGTGCCACATTTTCGATTTCCGCCACTTGCATTGAACTGCAGTTCATAATAGAGGATGTAGATTTGCTTACACTGTTTGCACACAACTGCCTCTTGCTATGACGAGAGATGAACTGATAGGGCATCATATCGTGCCTCAATCTATCCGCCATAGTGCACTGCAACGACGCGCTGCGGCCAGTCCACGAACTTATTGACTATGGTAGTAGTATCAAGAACTCAGTTCGCTATATACAATTTGATTCTAAATTATTGTCCGGGTTTCCGTAGCCTATAATTTTCAAACCAGAAATAACAACATAAAACTGCCAATAAATTTTAAAGCGTGATTCAAAAAGGTTTATTATATAAAGCTGTACTTTCCGCATTAATGTCTGGGAGAAAATATGACGTCATACTCAAAATGGCGACCGTAATATGCTTATTTTGATTTTTCGAAAGAAAGTCCGTAATAAAACTGGTACGTCGTTACATTACTAAATATGAAAAAGACTCCCCTTCAAATAATGCTATCCGACGTTGACTATAGCAGTTGCAGGAGGCTGGTAATTTTCTGCACCGAAAGAAGCTGGAAATGAAGTAGAACACTTGGAAGAAAATTGAATACTGTTTAGACATCTTACGTGCCATGAAAGGTGCATGTATTGAAGTTGTTAAGCATTCTACAGCATTAATTCTATAAATAATAATATTTTTAGTACACTTACACATGCATTCGGCAGTTTTATTTTACTGTTTTCGGTTTGAAGATTATAGGCTATAGAAACCTCGACAATCATTTAGAATCACAGTATGTAATCTTTCGCTCTGCAGATTATATTTATGAAATACTGCACAAAAATATCCTTCCATTTTTTGTTCAACACGAATGATGAATTTGTTCCCTCGTTTACTAAACTTTCGTATATTTTACATAGAAGTAAATTCTTGACTAATGTGATTTTTATTTCAACACGAGACACATATTATAAATTCTTCCCTTGTTTATTTCATAAACAAGGGAAGAATTTTAGTAGCCTGTTCTCATGTTCACTCTCCCAAACAATTCTTTTGTTTTGAATGATACAGGCGTCACGAACCTCCCTCTGGGCTTATGCCATGATGCTAGAGAGCTATGCTAGTATGAGTGTAAGCTCCTGGACAGGTCGAAGGGTAGAAGCCAGAAGAAAGGAAGCCTTTGATCCTCAAACTTGGGGTGTGACCTCATAAAAATAATATATTTAAGAAAACTTAACAGTATAGGCAAGATGAAAGGAGAATGGGCAAGTTTCTCCGAGCACCACAGAGTCTAGGAGTAAAGTAGTTACTACAGCGTGACAAGTCTTTGCGTTAAGTAAATGGACAAATTCCATTTTGAATTAGTCCACTATAACGTCTATCTTAAAATGTTTTCTTTCCGCAATTCGTTAATACATAGTAGCGCTTATTAGATATAAACTTTACTTAAATGTTTTAAGAAAAACAAACAGATATTTTATATTGAAACTGGTAGGAAGTTAACAACGTTTTGGAAGAACCTGCTACCTCCATCTTCAGGGTAGCAGAAGAGTACTGTTGAACTGATATTGTTTCAGGTTGTAAATGGTCTCTGAGACAGTTGCGTCGGTATTTCCACCAGACGAAAATCTCGGATTGGTTGCTGTGGCAACGAGTCTCTGCCCTTGTTGTCCTCACTGTAGTCAGCCAGCTTTCTGGCATACCCAGCACAGCAAACTGCTTCGAGTTTTATGGCTTCGACGTTCTCATTGACGCAAGCCTCAGGCCTTGGCTGTTAGAAGTGAGAATTGTTTATGTCAATCATACTTTGATTTTTACAACCTGTTGATTACTCTGCAGTAGTTTATTCCTGGTGTGGATTACTTTGATAGGATAAATAAATATAAGCCATAGATAAACAATCCAGATAATACCAGGTAAGTAAACAATATCCAGTATACCTACTTAATGTAAGAATAAAGTTGTTTTTGTGCCTGAAAATCACACCATGAACCCCACAAACTACGAGTACGTCAGTCCGCGTCCTGACAGGATGGATGTAAAGAGGGCTTTAAGGTTCATTTTTCCCTCGTTTGCCTTCTACCCTTTTCCTGAACCATTTATACTTTTTCTGTAATCATCCCTTCTGTCATGTTTCACTGGCCACCTTTTTGCATGATGAATATCTACCACATTTTTACCTTTGGCGCTACAGCCCAAATTTGGACCTTGGCCTACCTCCATGAAACTCTCCGTTTCACTTTGGTTTACTAGATCTCAGACATTCGGTAGGACTTCTTGGGCGGGCGATCAGCTCGTCGCAAGGTCTTTACCTGTACACAAACACAGAGAAACGTACATATACACACAAACACCAAACATCCATGTGCTGAGTAGGATTCGAACCCACAATCCCGGCTTCCGAGCGAGCGAAGACGGTGCATGCATTAGACCGCTCGGCTACCGTGACCGGCTCTGCCACATTACCCCATATACGTGTATAAATGCAATCATATACAGAGTTGTCACGCGTTTGTGTTTATCTCAATAGCACCCCCCCCCTTTCCTAGGCCCATATATTTTCTACATAACATGGTGCAGCACATTTGCATAACTGCTGTCTCACAAGCATAACTGTCCCATGGTTTCTGTGAGACTTCCAGAGAACAGAGAGACGGATGGATTCTAAAGAGTTCTCGTCATGATGTAGACGAGTAAAATTCAGAATTACTTGGTCTAGTATTCTAAAAGCTACAGAACTCAAGTTTCGAAAACTGTATATGTTTCCGTTTTCGGGTGAGGGGGAGATATCTACTCTGTTGGGTCCACTAGAAAGATATATCATCAGACACTGTATTGTGTAGAATAAGACTGAGGTCAGATCTTTCTAAAGGATCGGATATAGTACGTGTCTCCCCCTCACCTGAAAACGGAAAAAAGATCCAGCTTCCGAAATGTTGCAGTTTCTAGTTTTTAGAACACCGAACAATGGACATAGTCCAAGAGCCCAGTAATTCTGAGTGAGAAAGGAATGTCTAGTACATATTTTGTTGCACTGACCATTGCATGTACAAGATCTACGCTGGACCGAACAAGTTGGTCTAGACTGGATTCGAAAGATACTCGGTGTTTCGTGTTTCTTTCTACAGCCTCTCCAGGCAAATAGCTTCCGATAAGGTGATTTTCTTTTCCAATTTACCTAATTCTTCCAGCCGCACTATGGCCCTGGGGTCGGCTCAGCCTCTTAACAGAAATGAGTACTAGGAGACTTCCTGGGAGTAAAGGGCGGCCGGCGCGTAAGGCTGACAACCTTACCGCCATCTGTGAGCCGATTGTCTAGAAAACGTGGGAGCCTCGACGTCTTACAACTCTATGGCCCTTCACGGCCTGTTACAGGGATAGCTTTACCTTCTTTCTTTACCAGGCAAATAACAGAATAGTATGTAAGATTTGAGGCTTTCACGGCGGTGACTATGAAGAAAGCAGTCTGCTTTTACCGGTTCTCACGGTCTCTTTGCTTGCAGATTTCTTATATATTTTTTCTTCTACCCTGAAGATGGAGGCGATACGTTCCTCCGAAACGTCGGTTAACACCACATATACACGGTGCAAAATCCCAGAAGACTGCTTTCTTCAACAGAATAGTAAATCGATTAGGCCACTACTGCTTGTTGCCAATTCCTCTTCAATTAATCATTCATCTATCACCTTACCATCCGAATGAAAACGTCGTTAAATACCCACTTCCCCCTAAAAAATTAACGTTAGAGTTTAGCGATCTGTCGGTGTACGTTTCCAATACCTTTCGCAAATCCTCGAAAATTATTTTTGACATATGTATTCTGTTCTACTGTGGCTTGTGATCTGCATAGTGTTAAATTCATAAAGGGCAGAACACTAGCCCCTCTTTACCGTCATGATTTCCCAGGGAAGATATTTTGCCTCACTGCACTGCTATCTAAATTGATGAGTCCTGGTTAATGGATCGACTGATTACAACTTTATGTGCAACGGTCGTCAAGCAAAATAATCTCAGAGCTGTCTATACAGCAGAACTATGCACAATTCACAGAGCGCTTCTTTATATCAGCTGTCGTACTCAGACATTTTTTATATCTGTCCAGACTCATTTAGCATCACATGCTTGCCCACCCCATTACAGCTCAAATCCAGTGCCAAAATATTTCATCTCTACGAAAAGAGTTATTATATGGTGTTCTTCCGGGTACCAGGCCATTCCGTCCTCCCAGGCAAAGACGCACCGACGCTTTCTGCAGGCGAAGTTCACTCTTGTGACCAAGCATTCATACAGATCTTCACCATGCCGTGTGCTGTTCCTATCAAGAAGTTGAGTACCACTATATCAGTCTCAATCACATCTGCAGCTCTGCCCTGGTCGCAGTCTTCTGACACACGGACATTTGTTACACGATCGAAACATCTGACTCGTGCTCAGCGCGTGGCACAGGTAACAATATGGTTTATTTTAATCGAATGTCAAATTTTCGACATCCTTATGTTTTCCAACTTCAATGCCCTTTACTGGACATCCTCCGGGAATACCGCTCCAGAGTGAGTAAAGTTTTATAATTTCTTAGTGGTATTATCCTCTTCAAAACAGCGGGCTTATAATATTACGGTGTGTTATACTTCCTTAATAACTGATACCTTCACAACGTGGCACATGTATGTACAACCTATGTTGAAGTTTGTACTTTTATGTCTAATGTAAATTTGAACAACACTGCACCATGCATAGCATAGTCGGTATAGTGACTGGCTGCAGGCTGGACGACCGAGTCCCGATAGGGTCAAAAATGTTCTGTTTTTCAAGTGGTCCAGACCGATTCTGGCGTCCAACCAACGTCCTGTACAATGGGTACCAGGGGCTCTTTCCCTGGGGGTAAAGCTGTCGGGGCGTGAAGCTGACCACTCATCTCCAGCTAGTGCTGAGGTCGAGAAAATTTGGATCTATACATCCACTCCCCCGTACGCCTATGTAGGGTGGTGCTTATTTAAATAAGCACAGGGACAACTTTACCTTTTACTCCACCAGTTACCTCATATTAGTATCTCCCCTTATTTACTGACCATTTGCGTTACAGTACGCCATGTATTTATTGTAGTTGTAAGTGTACTTTCATTGTATTCATTGTGTGTATTGTGTCCTTTGTTCTTTGTGTAGTTTTTTGTGCTGTGTTTTGTTTGAGAGTGGTGTGTTATTTTGTGTGATGTGCTTGTGCGTTGTGTCTTATTGTAGTGCCACTACATTCATTCATTCATTCATTCATCAGTAATCTGTCAAGACGACAGGTCCACAGTCTCTTCCAAAACAGTTCCTCCACTTGATGCGATCTAGAGCTTTCTCCTTCAAATGAGAATATCCTCTTCTGTCCCCAAGGTCATTCAGCATCTTCTTACGTCTTCTTCCTCGTCTTCTGGTCACTTCTATCCGCCCCTCTATCTTTCCTTCAGTAACTTCTTTTAGAAGGCAGTTACCGCGTAAGATATGACCAATCCATGGGATCTGCCTCGGGAGTCAGGCTTGAATTAATTTCACCACAAATGCATGAGCTGACTCCCAACTTTGCAGCCCACACACAAACGAGTTTGGCTCATTGGAACCCAAGCCAAGTCGGACTCGCGAGCCAGACTTGTACGTGTATGGACCCCTTCAGTCACTTCATTACCCACATAGATCAGCGCTTCAGGACTAACATAAGACCACTATCATCATAAACACAGCAGCATGCATGAATGTGGGATGTTAACATGGGACACCAATTCTTTTAAAAGATCTTCATGTTTATTTTTCATTATATGAAAATTGTATAATTGTACATCATACCATAAAGAATTCTATGAAAATATGAATTTGTGTTTTTCTGATTCATTATTTAATTAAAAACTCAGTTGCATCTGGATGAATATTTTCTTTTAAATTGCTGTTCCTGAAAGTTTAAAACCAATTATGAAGAACAGTTAATTAAATATTATTTTCTTTTGTGTGTTTTAGGTTAATTTAAGTCCTGCACTTGGAAATGATTGTGATATAGACCAGATTGTGAAAAAACCGATGTTACATGATATGTTTGACCTTCTTGGTCTGCCTATGTGCAATACAGGACTTTCACTCTTCACAACCTGGTCCACTTTAAGCCATAATAAATATCCAGATGACCCAAGCTCTTCAGAAAATGAAGACAGTGAAAATGAGAATGGTGGGGCCAAAGTCTTATCTGGAAGGAAAGGAGCAAGTTCTTCAGCTCTGAGTGTACTAGCAGTTGCAAGCAGATGGAAAAGACATCAGCAGAAGAATCACAATTCAACACAGAGTACATCTATACAACATACAAGAAAAAAGAATGTGTGTCTTCAGGTTGTCAATCATTTCAGTCTTCCTGGATGTTCAGGGGCAATAGGGTCATGTAATCAAATGTCCAGTGGAAGAACACCTAGGACTCAAACTGCCAATACCAAAACCCCTATCAGATATTCTTCCATTAATAAAAGTATTGCTCAGAATTCATATTCTTCAACAGTTTCAGCCAATGGTGTAGGTGAAGATGATAACCATAAAACAATAAGCAGCCGGAATTCGCAAAATCCAGAGGAAGTTTGGATGTGCTATAATGCATTACTTACTGATCACAGTAGAAACCAAGTCCATAGTTTCCGTGGACAGAAAAAATACCCACCACCAATGCTGTGGGGTAATGGACGTGACTGGAGATCTCCTCCAGCAAGGGAAGGCAACTGGGTGAGGCTGTTCCCTTTGAGACCCACAACTCAGTACACTATGCAAATACCACAAAAAATCCCAACAGTTGTGCAAGGGGACACAGAAGTGAAGAATGTAGTTGCAGCTGTTCACAAGTATTCCAAAGCAGCAAGGGAGATTTTTAAATGCAATCCAACATTTTCAGATGAATCATTCAGTACAATTATGAAGCAGACACTAGGAATGATATCTGAAGTATGGTTACCAAGCAAATAGTAAATACGAATACTGTGAATATAAGAAATAGGTAAATAAAGGTAACTGTAAAGATAAAAAATAGCATGTGTTGTCATTTAAAACATAACACAATTTATGACACTGTAATCACAAATATGGCAATATTTTTATTTTACAAAAAACACCCAGTGTATCAAAACAAAGAATAGATACTTTGAACTGTGCCATAAAATGACCAGTTTTTTTGCAATATGTTTACAGCCCAGCTGACAGAAGATATGGATATTATTTCAAATTTATTTGTGAAAGAAATCAACGTACATATAAGAGAAATATATTTAATGGGTTAGAGAGGACAAGAGAAAGGGACAGATGTCATGAACATGAATGCTAAATGTTTTAATTGAGCAGTCATCAGATTGAGCCAATATAGGCATACTTTTTAAGGAAAGAAAAGATGTCTCTATAATTTGACATGAACGCCCTGCTAAATCTCAATGATTTAATGAAATCTGATATGTGGCTTGTCATACTTTTGCTCTCTGTTGGTACCCCTTTACAATGAAGGACAGTATGAATACAGCATTTTAAAATGTGTCATTAAATATTTACCAGAGTGAGACATCATGGCATGCCCTACACAGCAAGCATATTATTTTCACATTTATTTTCAAATGGAAAAAATTGAAACCAAAGGAATAAATTAGACTTCTGGAAACTTATTGATCCATATAAACATACTGGTCACTTTCTCTACTTTTCAGAACCTAAAATTTCAAATGGGGGCACGCAGTAGCGTAGTTGGTTGAGGCACTATGCTACAAGCCCGAAGGTCATGGGTTCGAATCCTGATGAGGTCATTGGATTTTTTTCAACTGACCTAATTCCTCCAGCCGCACAATGGCCCCGGGGTTGACTCAGCCTCTAACAGAAATGAGTACCAGGAATATTCTTGGGGGCAAAGGGTGGCTGGTGCGTAGAGCTGACAACCATGCTGCCATCTATGAACTGATTGTCTAGAAAATGTGGGAACCTCAACATCTCACAACCCTGTGGCCCTCCATGGCCTGTTACAGGGATATCTTTACTTTTTAAAATTTCAAATAGATCCTGGAGTGTTCTGATGATGGTTTATGACACTCAGAATTACTGGATTTTTGGACTTCATCCATTGTTCAGATTCTTTAAAAAGAAAATTGCACTGGTCAATATCTTAACTCCAAATCCAACCATCTGCTACTTGTGAAAAGAGGTTCAACTCAAAGTCTTCACAATACAGCTTCCCTTGTGTGCCAATAAAGACAAAATGTGTTCAGTGAAATAGTAACCTGAGACAAGATCTTCAGCCCAATGGTTCCCCCAAGGTTTCACTGACTCAGATATTAATTCCCAGGCTAGCAGTAGTCTGAAATAAAGAGGAAAAGCCTCTGGGCTCTGTGTATGTTCCGTATGTGACGATCTTAAAAACTAAACCCACTCACAGGAGTTCACTCATGAAAACCAAGCTGGAAAGAGACCTGTGACAGGCAGCATAGTGTTTCTACAGCATTTCCTGTGAATGTGGCAGATGCTACACTGGCAAAACAGGCAGGCCTGTAGAGACACAGCTTCATGAACAAAGGCACAATCTGCAAGAGGGTCTTCTAGAAAAATTAAAATTAGCCCAACATGCCTATGAAGAGGCTGGGATGAATCCAGAATTTTGAAAATTGAAAGTAACAGCAGGTATAGGATATACAAGGAATCTGCCCATATGACATTCTTAACCAATCAGCTTAGCCAATCCGGTTTAGACTTTCCTCCCATTTGGATCCTCTTTATCAGAATGAGGTTACCAAACTCACAGGGAAGATCAGCAAGATCTGACAGAATGTTCACGGGTCTCTACAAGATATCAGTCCTGAGGGTTCAGTTTTTACTCCACATATGGCATGTGAGGTATGCAAAAATGGTTTCAGAACTTTCTCCAATTAAACCTATATATTGTATTCATAGACCCAGTCTGTCAGCAAAGTTTTTTTTTCCTTGGCACCACAGCCCCAGTGGGCCTAGGCCTACCTCCATGAACTTCTCCGTTCACTTCAGTTTTTCTAGATCTTACACATACGGTAGGACTCCTTGGGCGGGTGATCAGCTCGTCGCAAGGCCTCTACCTGTACACAAACACAGAAAAACGCACACAAACATCCATGCCCTGAGTGGGATTTGAACCCATGATCCTGATTTCCGAGCGAGCGGAGACAGTGCACGCCTTAGACCACTCGGCTACCATCAGCGAGGTTTATTCCATAAAATTTCCACCTCCTTTCCTATCTTAGTTTCATGTCTGTCCATAATTTATCAAAATTTGTATTGTACAGTTTCTTAGTACCTTCCATTTATAAAGCCTAATCTTAAATTTTTGTATAGCTGTAGTTATACTGACAGTCTAGTGACTGAGGTTATGTCTTTCTAACAAACCCAACAGAGTTGGTATCTCCCCCTTCACCTAAGGAGGAAAACAGATCCAGTTTCTGAAACGTTGTGATCTATAGTTTTTTTTAGGATACCAAAATGTTGGAACAACAGCCACTAATCCAAGGAGCAAAAGAAACTCTGAATTTTTCAAGGAAGCCTATGTGGATAATAAGTGAAACACCCATGCCTCACTTAAAGATCAAGTGGAGAGGTGAGATGAAAGTAATGTTAAAGATGGATGGACAGATGGACAGACAGTGCTTTATTCTCAGTATCACTGCTGGGAGGCATTTAAGACATGAGTGGCCATACTTTAGTACACAAGCCATTCTGGAAAATTAAAAAGCTTTTATGGGCCACCTAAAATAAGTCCAAATTATCATGTTGGTTAAGTTCCCATAAGCTTCTTATGCTAGTTCTCAAAGACATACAATTTCCTCTTCTACAATTAAATCAAGACTCAAGATTTGTAGGCAGCCCGTGGGTCATGATCAAAATACTTATCAACTTATACTTTAATGTTATTGTTTGATACAGCGGTAGTGTAGTGGTTGAGGCTCTATGCTACAAGCCAGAAGATCGCGGGTTCAAGTCCCGATGAGGTTTTTGGATTTTTTCAGTTGACCTAATCCTTCCAGCCGCACTAAGCCCTGGGGTTTACTCAGCCTCTAACAGAAATGAGTACCAGGAATTAATTAAATAATTTTCCTGGGGAGTAAAGCACGGCCGGCGCGTAAGGCTGACAACCTTACTGCCATCTTTGAGCTGATTGTCTAGACAATGTGGGACCCTCAACGTCTCACAACCCTATGGGCCTTCACGGCCTGGTACGGCGATAGCTTTACTTTAATTTACTGTATATAGCAATTTAATTTTTTAACACCACATACTGTTTATTACAATTTTAATTACCGTTTTAAAAAAAATTAAGTACAAAAAATAAGTTATAACTGTTGAGATGAAGGAATTAAAATTTGGCTGAAAACATATTTTAATTGTGTTTAATATGTATATTATAGAGCTGATTTCCTGTTATAAATCTATGTTCCAAATTACCACTCTGACACCAAACTATAAAAATTCAGATTTTCAGAGCAGCCAGAACATAACAATTTTATACATAAAGTAGTGTATATAAACATTGTACTGTAAATGTAATTTGTGAACACTGGTGCTAGAAGCTATGCCATGAGCGGCGTTTTGAATGGTTTTACATAAGGTTCCGAATATTAATTATAAAACTCAAATAATATTAAATTATTGAAACCTTAAGGATGTAACAAATAACATTTTTTTTCAAAACTCATTGCTTATAAACATTCATACATCAACATTGCTCCCATTTTGTCTTAAGGGGAAATGTAGTATATTATTTAGGGTTATACCATGTAAGGAGATATATTTTACAAATAACTAAAACAAAAGTTCCCACAGTGAGAGGGTTGAAACAATATTGCTCACAAACTTATATTCCCCACATGTAAGGTGAAAAGGTTATAGTAATGAAGGATGATTACAACTGACCAGTCTTCTCCCTTCTCCCTCATTTTCAAACAGATCTGCTGAATAATGCAATACAAATTTAAAGATATAGCTTTCAACATTCTTTAATTGTCCGATATTTTATAACGTAATGACATTATATTACAACGTCAGTCATCTCAAGGTAAAGGAGGTCCTGGTGCAGATTTTAAATTTTCTCCAATTTTCCCTGCTTCATGTAAAGGCACTTCAAAATTTCAACACATTTCTCAGAAAGTTATGTAGTTTTAATTTGCATGTGAAACTTCAACCTGTTATGACAACTGAATCCACGCAAAACTTCAGCTGTCATGTTGCAGCCAGAAGTATGAAGTTCATTTCAACAGACACTTCTTCAGTCTAATACTACCTTTCCTACAGGAACCATCATATGTATTGCAATGCATCTGGCAATATGAATATTTTGTTTCAGTATCTGACCAGCTGGTATCATAAGCTGGCATTTGACCAGCAGAAACATTTCAAAGAACCATATTAAATTGACATCAGAGATCTGCAGGAAATTCAGAGTCAAAATTAAAAACAGACATGTGTGTCAGCCTATATACAGTAATCAAACTCAGATGTGTGACTCCCCCACCACATCTAATATTCCCCACCTATTTTCTACTTCATCATTTTCATTATGTAATTTTTTATAACAGGTGTTTCACTTTTGTATCTTTCTTGCACTGTTGCACACTTTCATTAACAATAAAGATTTCAATCATATTTCAGCTTGTTTAAAATGAATGAACTGAGCAGGTTCATACAGCAGTAACACTCTGGATTTGTATTTGGGAGAGATCCAGTTTGAACCTCAAATGGATTGGCAGCTATCCTGAGTGAGGGCTTTCGTGGGGTTTTTCAGTCCCTACAGGTTAGCAACAGGATAATACCTTGAATTTGGCCATGATTACTCCTCCAAAATCCTTCCTGACTAATCATTCATGTTCATCTAATATCCCATTTGACACTATATCACATCTGATGAAAAATCGCTGTTAAATATATTCAAATTAAATTGAAAAAACCTTACGTAAAAATTAAATTAAAAAATTGTTGGAATTTATACTAATTATAAACAAAGCACTCATTTT